AATCACAATTATATTTGTCATTGTATTAGTTACAACAGATGTTTCACACCTGAAAACGCGTTTTAAAAAAAAATTATACTGGGAGTGTGAAGATTGACTGGGGCACATAGTGAGATTAATGACACATAATTTTAGTAAATATGTTGACAAATGTCTGGATTTTTGGTTTCACAAGGCAAGATAAAATTGTATCAAGCTGTGAATTAGCTACAGTATGTGACGTTGCCCCCGTGACGTTTTCAGGAAAGGGGGTAAGTGAGCAGTGTCCTTCACAGTTTAGTGCCCACACAGTTAGTCACAGTTTTAGTTTTAATATAACGGTGTATAACTGTGATCTTACAAGTACTTTTTTTTAAACGCTTATAATCGCTATTCTTGCAAATATATTTCAGATTGTTATTTAGTTGTGTCTACTTGTTAGTTGATGGGCAAACGTTCAAGGTGAAAATGCTTCCACAAGGAGGTACCTTTAAAGCAAAGAAGACGGCACCGAACATTTTTCAGCACTGTATGTCGCTTAAGCCATTGCTTTTTGGCATTTTAGTCATAAAGGTGGGAAGATGGCCCCAATCTGGTTGTCTGACTTTTCCCCATTCTTAACCATTCTGTGTACGTATTGCAGTGGGTGAGAGAGTTTTTTAGAGTACATTTATGTAATTTTTCTGGTAAGGGGAAGCAAAACATCAGGATTTACTGTAATTAGTGTAAAATTTATATTTGAAATCGCAGCTGAAATATAAAGTTAAAATCTCAACAAACAGGAATGTTGGAAATATGTATTTTTTCTGGAGCAAAAATACAAATAGAAAATAAATGCTTTTTGACATCTCAAATCAATTTTGATCAAGGTCTCCAAATGAACAAGAAAAACATTTTCAGAGAGTAACTACTTTGTGTTTACATAGAATAAATAATTAGAAGTTTGAGCAATCTAATTCCTTATTCATTAAAACAGTGAAATTTCAGCTGCAAAAGATCACACCAGAGACAACACTACTGTAGCTCTGCTTGCCATAGACGTTCAGGAAAGGGTGAATTAAGCCATCTCAAGTGCAGTAATTCGGTCATCAGTAATAACAGTTTAAAATGTGCATACTGTAGATTAATGTAAAGATTCTGGAAACTTTACAATTAAAGAGCTCTGTAGGACAAATAACAGAAGATAGAGAAAACCATAAATAAATAGTTTAGATGTAAAAATACAAACACGCATATGAGCAAAAAGTTTTAGAAATGGAGCAGGTGTTACTTTGAAATGAGCAAAGAGAAGAAAAGTTAATCATGACTGGACATAGTGTAGAAGAGGAATGCAGGAACACCTGCAAAAGCTTAATATACAAAAATAAATCGCAGAAAGCTACGTATTACAAAAGAACATGTGAACACTGTTGAATGTTTCCATACTGTAAATACTGAAATTAGGTCAAACATATTTTAATTGTATTTTATTCTAAACATATTAAACATGAATGTATTTTAGATTTTGTGTAGTTGCTAACATTGAACTGTTTGCTGAACGCACATAAAGTGCCTATAGAAAGTCTACACCCCCCTTGGACGTTTTCACATTTTATTGTGCTACAGCATGGAACCATGATGTACAGTATTTAACTAAGACTTTTTGCCACTCATCAACACAAAGTACTCTATAATGTCAAAGTGAAAAAAAATCCAGACATTTTACAAAATTTATTAAAAATAAAAAACAGAAATAATTGAATGCCTAAGTATTCACCCCCAGAGTTAATACTTGGTAGGTCCACTTTGGTAAATCAAGAAATGACTTACGTTGCTTGATTAATTTTAAAAACTACGTTTTAAAGGCAGACGTGCTTGGTGCCCTAAGCTCTCCAGGCTTCTCTGTGCTCAGTGGGCGGTGTGCTATTTTCTCAGTGACCTTCTGATCTGCTTCACACCACGGGAAGGAGAATCTGTTTTTTTCTCTACGAAACATGTTGCGTTTATAAATTTTAAGTGTTTTAATTCTAAGCTGATTCTAAGCTGACCACAAGGAAGAAAATTCAAAGTTTTCTCACATAAAAATTGATTTTTAACTATCTGAACCCATTTTTGTAACTCTTAAAGTCATGCAATGTCTAAGTTTGGCAGGGACATGTTATTGTTTCTTATTTTTGATTGTTTTTTAGAAAATAAAAGAATCAGTTGGCCATTGTGCCGTTCAGTATAATGTTACATTTTTTTCCTAACCCTAACCCTAGCTGGGGCCTTCAGAGAGCAATCCTGCAATCTGTCTCTGAACACCTCCAGACATCAGATTTGAAAATGTCTCTCAAACCAAATAGAGTGAGTCTAAAACTATCAAAACCGATCACAAAAGCTCTTGGAAACAGATAGCCTTCAGTAAAACAGATTTTGTTTCAACTTTTGAACTGACTCTTTTTTTTAATACTAGTGCAACGCGCTGCATTATACAGTTCAACAACGGTAGACAAAAGTAACCCCAAAAAAAGTTTTAGATAGAATCGAATTATCACTTGTTCTAATATTCCCATAGGACCCAAAATCCAGCACTAAGCGTAAAAATGTCTAAGGAGTGTGGAAATGCTAACCCTAACCCTAGCTGGGGCCTTCAGAGAGCAATCCTGCAATCTGTCTCTGAACACCTCCAGACATCAGATTTCAAGATGTCCGTCAAACCAAATGGAGTGTGTCTAAAACCAAGAAAACCGATAAAAAAACCTCTTGGAAACAGACAGCCTTCAATAGAATGGGATTCCTTTCAACTTTTGATCTGACTCATTTTTTTAATACTAGTGCGACGTGCTGCATTATACAACAATGGCAGACAATAGTAACCCCAAAAAAAGTTTTAGATAGGATCAAATGATCACTTGTTCTAATATTCCCATAGGACCCAAAATCCAGCACTAAGCGTAAAAATGTCTAAGGAGTTTGGAAATGCTAATCCTAACCCTAGCTGGGGCCTTCAGAGAGCAATCCTGCAATCTGTCTCTGAACACCTCCAGACATCAGATTTGAAAATGTCCCTCAAACCAAATAGAGTGAGTCTAAAACAATCAAAACACATCAAATAAACTCTTGTGAACCGATAGTCTTCAGTAGAACGGGATTCCTTTCAACTTTTGATCTGACTCATTTTTTTAATACTAGTGCGATGCGCTGCATTATACAGTATAACAACGGCAGACAAAAGTAACCCCAAAAAAAGTTTTAGATAGAATCGAATTATCACTTGTTCTGCTATTCCCTTGGGACCCAAAATCCAGCACTTAGCGTAAAAATGTCTAAGGAGTGTGGAAATGCTAACCCTAACCTTAGCTGGGGCCTTCAGAGAGCATTCCTGCAATCTGTCTCTGAACACCTCCAGACATCAGATTTGAAAATGTCCCTCAAACCAAAGAGTGAGT